ACATAGCCCCTCTTCACCCATGGCCTTTTATTCATCTGATTATAAAAAGATTTTTTTCAGTGTAAATTTCTCCAAAGATTGTCTTGAATTATGAATAGTCATCTTGACTATCTGTATAGTTTGAGGTATATCAAAAGGTGCCTGTCTTCTCTTTACATACATTCAAGAATTTCCTGGTACTGCTAATGAAGAAACAAAGCACTTCCTCAACGAAACATTTTTACCTTCATCTCTGTTTGAAAATAGTCTTTTAGGTTAGTTAGACTTTCAAACATTTCGATCAAGCAATACATATGGAATAATGTGCCAAAACCAGACACAAGAAGGACAGAAACTGCACAAAGCAAGTACATGCTGATCATGATAATACATTGCATTAGAGTTGAACTTTACAACAAAACACTTAAAACTGCCACATTTGCAAACAGTTTTTCTCTTCCAGACTGAGGTACTCTTACAAACTATTATGTACATTCACAGATATTAAATAGTTCTGAACCAGCATTTGCAGTCCCAGGAGTAGAATAAGTGCACTCACATAGCACTCCAACTGAGATATAAACCCCTAAAATAAACAACCCCATTAAAGAATTTTAGGAAGACATACCCCACTAACAAAATAATATTTTGAATTATCAAAATTAAGTAAATAGGAACTTGCTGCTTGGAATTCCTGTAACTTGGATTTGTTTCTTCAAAACAAAGTATTTCTCCCAGTAATTCAGTGTTCACTTGCATAAGTATTATTGGGCTTAACACTGACTTCACTGAAGATGAAACATGCAGACTAGGAGAACAGGAGAAAATGAACCACAAAAAAGAGCTTTGCAAACAACAGGAATGTGTATTGCACCTCTCATGTAAGTATTTTAGTGTGTCTTCTATTCTGTTAAGCTTTCTGAAAAGGCAGGCAATTATGAATTCTACAAATATGCTGCAATTGCTTTTGACATGTACTGCCTTAGCCACAGAAGGAGAATGCAAGAAGAAATCAATGGGAAAAAATTGCTGGGAAGAGTGAAATTGCCTGAGGGATTTCATTCTATGCCATACAATGGCCTAGGAATTCTATTTATAAGGAAGACAGTATTTAAATCTATTGATATTTCACGGACTTCTCGCAGTCTGCAGTATTAAAATTTTAGCTCTCCTAGAAGGGGGCATATCTTTTGTGAAATCCTGATGTTGTACAATGGCATTATGCTTACAGAACACTAAATAAGGTGTGAAAGAGGTGAAATTTTGTGCTGCCTTTTCAACATTATAAAACTTCCTTTATCATTGCCCATTTAATACACTAAGGTTGAGTACTCACTGTGGACTTGAGTTTCAAATCAGGGGATCTGAATGAAGAGCCACAAAAACATCAGTTCTGTTAGCTTGTTTTTAAGACCAGTTAAATCGTTGCACAGACCTTAGGATCATTTGAGTGGTCTCAGGACTTTCATGAACCTGTCTATAGCTTCCAGAGTTCAAGTGTCCTAGCAAAAGATTATAAAATCTGACATAGGCTCGATCTCCACTATCTTCCATCCCCAGCAAGGGCTAGGATCGAATCACACCAGTTATCATTCCACTGATATTGACAGTGGATGCTTTGCAAGACAAATGAGCTGTATGTATAGAAATCATGGCACACTTTTAAACAGACAAGTAGTATAGTTCCTTTTGAAGCTCCATTCTATCCAAATTTTGCTTTAATATATAGGAAATAACATGCCAGCTTAATAATCAAAAACAAGACAAAAATGTTTTATTCATAGAGCTTTTGTATGTCTTGATTACCACAACTTTGCATGTACCCAGGCAAGCTTATACAATATGTACTGTCTTCTATGTTTCGTTGCTGTTTTCTTGTATTAAATATTTCAAAATTTTATACCTGAGCAACAGAAGTTAGTAACAGAGGTCTGATGCATAGTAATGAAGGTAGAACAACAGCGTATAATGGCACTATCTTAGAAAATCAAGTAATATGCTTATGGCTAACGATAAAAAATATGAAAGATAGGCAAGAGTGAGGTCAGTAAGTGGTACCTCAACCTGGCTTTGGGTGAGGAATATTAATGATCTTTAGAAAAATATCTGCATGCTGCTTTTCAAGTACAAATAAATTACTCTCTTCATTGATTGATTTCTTTGCCTGAAGACCTGAATATATATCAGTGCTTGACTGCAGAGGGTTTATATGTGGATGCTTAAACTTAAACCAACCTCTCTCCTCACCTTTTTAGTAAAGCTCTGTCTAGATATTTACCAGCCTGTTTCTGGACTGCACAGATTGCAGTTCCCAAATTTCTTGAGACAAAGCAAAATTCCCCATCATCAACTTTCCCAAAGGCCCTTAAAGCAAACTAAGTGCACTCTCTTGGCGACTCTCTTGGCGACTTTAGCTTTGATAGCACTAGCGATGATTTTGCAAAAAGAGATTGTAGTTCCTCATTTCACATGTAGCAGAAAGACACTGAGGAAGGCAAAATGTCTGTATTCTAGCCTGCCTCAGTTACCTGTTCATTTTTCTTTAAAATTTGGTTGGAGTCCTTACATGCTTGGGACTGCCTCACACAGTTTTCTCTCTGAGTACTGGAATATTTATTTCACTTCAGACCCTGAATCAGCTTATTCCCTTTCTTCTGCCTCTTCTTTTCTGAAATGGCTTCTGAAAATGCTTTTCATTTTCTGTCTCAGCTTCCCTTTGAAAAGTTAGCGCTCCTGCCTCCCTTGATCCATCTCATCAGTCAATCAAAATCCTCAACTAACTTGACAGTTTTTAGCTACTCTTATGCTGAAATTCAGGCCTGAAAACGGTTTGTTCTGTGCAATAGACAACTATTTCTCTCCAAGGGCTCTTGGGTGAATAACAGATAATTGATGTTAGATGTAACTTCTGCTATTAGCGATATGTTACCAACTCTGAACTTCACCCAAAGAGAGAGGTTCAAATATCCCCAAAGAAACTCTACATATGTAAAGTACAGCTTAAAGGATGACACAGATATTCACAGAGAATCTCCAGATTAAGGATATTTTCCTTTTTTTCTTTTCTTTCCAGCTTTAACAATGAACATGTCTCTAACTGAAGCTGTACTGGTAAGCATTGCAAAGAATCTTTTGCTACCTTTATTTGGTGGACAAAAGGGACATTCTTCATCTTTGGTGTCTCTGAGCTCGTAAATTGATGTGCACACTTGTGAGAGAACCCAGAGCTCTGAAGTGGGTATGCTTAGAATCCATAAAGAAGAGAGAAAAGCCTTCACACTAAAAAAGGACAGGTTTTGTCTGGGAAAAAGCCTATCCTAGTTTAACTTTCTGAACAGAAAACACTCAAAATTACTACAGAAAATAGAGTAGAAACAAACAGTTTTCCTAACTGTCTTTGTGTTCTCGCAGGCAGCTCCTCATAATCAGCCAGCTACCTCACCGGCAGCTGGCTTCAATGCTAGGACCTTCACCACAGGAAATCCTCCAAATCTTCCTTGCTTTGGACCCAAATCATTTGGCAGAGTGCAAAGAAAGAGTCAAAGACATGCAATTTCACTCTGTTTCATTATATATTCTGAGGAAAGGCTCTAATGTTACAAAAATTTGCCTTACAGACCAGTCTCTTGCTTCTCATTCAGCCTCTTGCTTTTCATTTCAGTCTCAGTGAATTGTACCCCTTAACGTTCAACACATCACATAAACCAAAACAAAGGGTGATGTTAAACTCAAGGCTGCACATAAAAGGAAACAAGAGTAGTTGGCTAAACCAGGCAATACATCAATCCTCTGTGCTATGTACACTTTATTTACAGGGCATTTGTCTATTCAGACTGATGATGAATGAAGCTGCAAAACACAGTATGATTTTCATCACTACAAGGCAGAGTCAAAATCATTACTGATTTTATCTTTTTAAAACCAGTCCCTAATTGTTAGTCCAGAGGCTTTTCTTTTTGTTTATTCAGTCTTCCTTCTTACTTCTTTCCCACCTTCTGCTTTATTTTATAGCTCTATATCTGATCAGGGAATCTGGGGAGTACTCTGTTTTACATGCACCGCTGCATAGGGTTTTACCAAGGTCAACAGATGCTAACCTACTCGTAGAAGACAAGTTACTGTGACTTCCGAGTTCAGCAAACTATTATTCTTCCATGGTATCAGTTTGTGCAACACAAAAACTGCAATAAAAAGTGCATTTTCCACAAGAAGGTAGCAACAGGAACATGATAATATCTTATAAATATAGATATTTCTCTCATAGCCTACATGGAATTCAAGAATAATACCAAGCACAGAAAGATTTACTTATTACAAACACCAGTAAGTCACTCTGGCCTAACATTTAATATTCTTTGTTATAAAGATTTCTCTCTTCATTTTTCTATTTCACCCAAAGTTTAATTCTTTTAAGGTACCTGTTTTTTCTACTACCAAAACAATCACTGATGCATATGACGTCACCTCTTAGCAAAAAGTGTAATCTTTGTTTTCTAGAAATCCACCGTTAAATGTGCATTCCCTCTGCTTAAAAGCAATTTTTATGAGAAAACAAAAATATTTCTAAATTTCTTCTCATCATGTATCTTAACATGCATAACCAATGTCACTACAGTCATTCTCTCTCCCTCCTTTTTCTATGTCTTATAAAGAAAGTTGGTGTTAATATAATAAGGAATGGTTTACTCAAGATCCTGTTTCAGCTGAATGTTAAAAGAAAGTCAAAGTGCATTTGGACTGTAATTCGCACACACAGTTTCTTAACTGTAACTACTCAGCAACTTCTTAAACCAAATAATGCAAAGAATTCTGAAACGGACAAAGTCTACACAGTTAAGTCATCATTCCTAAGCCATGGTGCTATATTTAAATTGTGTATTGTGCTACAGTATCCCACTCTGGTACGAGGAGCAATTCAGAGTCACTGATGGAAAAGTAAAAAGAACACTTCCCCTCTGATTACAACATTGTACAACAGAAATAGTTTCCCGCATTGCTAGTAGAAAAAGGCATATTCTTACCCCGCAGCCTATTCCATTGCCTGGTTCACATACAATTTTCCTCACTCCTGGTTCAGGAAGCAAACCCGCTCCACAGCCAGGCATTGGACAGAGCACTCCCCCCATCTGCAGCACACACTCCTCGGCCCCATAGCGCTGGTAGCGATTGTACTACAAGAAAACAGACGGGTGTTAAACTTGTAACAGCATGCAAAACTCCCTTCCCCCAAAACTTTGAGCTTGAATCTATGACCCATGATCAATGTGTTAGCTGCCCTAATGTCTCACATACTAAGTCCAGGTTATTTGTCAAATGTCTAAAGATTTGCAGTGCCGCTAAATGGGGTGTCACTTCACTCCAACTCATACCATATGTGTGGTTTTGACTCACAGCTTTTCACCACCAGAAAATGGGGTGGGATATTGAAATCAAATATATGTATGTCAATTAGATTAAGATTGACTTTAAATTACAGCTCTGTACCAAATACTTAAAAAATTTATCTAGTAAAAAAGACTTTGTTCTTGCCCCATACATGTATTATATACAAATTCCTTCAAAACCTCAACTGATGTGAAATGATTTCTAGTTGTGAATGATTTCCACACTGTGTTTTTTTAATACTAGATTTCCATATCTCCTAAAGTTGCAGCTCACACCAAAACCTAGCAGAAGCCCACAGCACTTTTGAACAGCATGGGGATGTGCCTCTGAGGACTGTTTCTGAAAGTAACCTTAACAACACTTATATTGCTAAAAAAATTATAAATAATACAGCTATAGTCAAACAACACATACTGATAAATGCTGTATACAGATTGAAAATAAGCCCACAAATACCCCCAAGCATATATAGCTAGAATTATAATATAATGTTTTACAGTTCTTGTAAATTTGCCCAGCTAACCTTATTTTCAAAATAAATTTAATTAAACTGATGGAAAAATAATCCTCTGACATACATTTATTTCAATTTTAGGTGTAGTTTTTTTCCAGGGTCTTCCAGGAAATTTTCTTAGCTTTTGCAGTTTTCATCTAGGCTAAAAGGCTATGGAAATGCCTTCATTTTAATGAGGGAGACACTGACACACAGCAATATTATGTAACATGCTTGCTGTATCCTCACTGACAAAAACACCCACTCTAAAATGACTGATGCCACTGCAATAACTTTCCCTCATCTAACTTACCCCTCTTTCAGCTGGAGATAAGCTGAACAAGTACAAATCATCCTGCATACACATAAATCATGTCCACTCTAGGCTTCTGTGTTCATGTAGTTCCACACTAGCAGCTATACAGCCATTGTAAACCAGGCTTCAGATTTGCCTATAAATCTGGTCTAGTGGAGAATGAAATAGATGAAAGTATTTGGTTCTAACAGCCCCAAAGAAAACAGGAAAATCCAAAAGGCCAAAAAGGAAGGGAGTACTACGAATTTTCTCCATGAGGAGAATGGCTTTATGGTGTGCTAAAGGAACAAACCAGAGCCTCATGTTACAGCACTCACAACAGTATTTTTGGCTTCATAAACTTTTATCTCATAACTGCTAATGAAAATTCTGTTCCATTTTATTTTGAGGATAACAAAAAAATAACTATTCTCTCACCAATCTGCACCTTTTTCCAAAGAAATTCCACAACAAATCTGAAGCAATAGGGCCAAAACCTCAGATTCAAAGGATGCAAATAATAATTTTAAATTGCAAAGACAGGGGTTCTATTGCATATTTATTTTGTGGGTACATTAAAGAAGATTCTTCTGCCAATGTTGCCATAACTTGTCTTGTTACACTTGGCTTTTAAAAGTACTATGTGACTTCCTAAACCACCATAATATATAGACATAAAATTGTTACATCACAGAAAAAAAAATATATAAAAAATTATCAAGCTGGAAGAATCCACCTTTGTCAGATAACAAAAAATCCAAGCAAACTTCCTCTCAAAAGAAAAGTGAAATCTAAAAGGAGATAAAGCTTTCAAAACATCTTGGATCTGGAAGATACCAGTATTTTGAGAAATGTACAAGACATGTCTGCAAGATCTCCTTGAATGGGGGGGTTCAACAAGTCAATTGATGCTTTTCTATGTTATCATTAGGCTCAAATGTAGAGTAATGGTATAAATATTTAACGTTGGACTCTTATCAATTTCCAGCAAAGTTTGTGATCCTTGCACTAAATACACACTGAGTGCTCTGAGTCATTCTGCTGGCCTTAAATAGAAATATGGGTAATCACAGCTACAAAACCTTTTGCTGACATAAATTTTCTTCAGGGCAGAGACTGGACCTGAAGGTGAAGATGGTGATTGTCTTACCACGTTAAGAGGGAACACTGTGCTGGATATAGGATTGTTAGCAGCTTGTCATTACAGAGGCAAACATCAGTAACACTGTAGCTGAGATTCTGTCAGCATTTCCATTATAAATTCTCAGCTGAAAAAGATTATATGCTTTCCACTCATTAACTGAGTATAAAAGGGCATGAAGAGATTCCTCCCACCTCCTTTTTTTTTTTTTTTTTTTTTTTT